TCGGCATCCTCAAGGATGGGGCCCTGGCTGCTCCTGGCTTCCTCAGGGGGCTCTGAAAAGGCGGTGTAGCTCTAACTGCAGACAGACGTGGAGAGGGCAGGGGGCTGAGGCTGAGAATTCAGCAGCCTTGACGGGCATTTGCCAAGTTTCTGCCTGAGGATGAGCCCAGGGTAGGTGAACACTTGAGTCTCTCCCATCCATGTCACTCCCAGGGTGGAGGAATCATGGGCCACCTTTGCTGAGCTCATGCTTATGCACTTCTGAACTCAATCCCTCACTGGATAACTGGGAAATTGAGGCCCATAGAGAGGTAGGCACTGGCCCACGGCACATGACAGGAAAGAGTCCAAGCAGAAGGCCGTATTCTGACATTCTAGGGCAAGACTCGAACCCTTCCCACAGGCTTTGCTGTGGAAAACAGAAACCATCAGTTCTTGGGAAGCTCTTGCCCATCCCTTCCTCTGTGGAGGCTGTTTCCTCCTGGGCATCCAGGACGTGAGCAGTGACACACACATACACGCAGAGACCTTAGTTGGAAGGGCAGACTATGGGCTGGGCTCAGTAGAGAGGCAGACACAGGGGAGGAGAGGACAGGAAGAAAAAAGCGGTTAGAGGCATTCCCTACATGGGACACCGCTCCTCCAATTTCACAGGTATTCTTCCACTCCTGCCTGAGGGCATCTCCAAGGAGTGGGCTAGGATAATCCCCCCCGTGCAGACTGGAGGCAGAAAGGCCCTGCGAGGCACCATGGCTTCTCCAGGGTGAGGAACAGGGAAGAAGGAGCACTTGTGTCTGCATCTGTCTCAAAGCTGGGACCCTGGCTGCACCCAGACCTTCTCGGAGGCCTGTGGAGACAGGTGTTTTGGGGATCCTGGGGACACAGATGATACTGCATGGAGAAGGGGTTAAGCAGTGCCCTGCCCAGAGGACTGCTTGTGTGGGTCGTATCCGAGGAGGGGGCTCAGGTCACAGTGGTCTCCAGGAAATGATGTAACCTCTTTCACAACAATGCCCACAGTGCAGGGGCCTCCCGTAACCAGGCAACCAGATCCTCACACTCAGCTCACTTGGCTGGAGACAGCTGCTACGGAAAGATGTTTTCCTGCTGTATCCTGCCTTACCACGTCTATGGTCCCCAGAAGCACCGGAGCCAAAACCTTTTCACTCGCTGTAAAGGTTGGCTTACGTCTCATACGCCACACCTATGGCCGTTTGCCAGGAGGTCATCAAAGGTAACACGAGGGGGCCTACATCGGGCTATCTAGCTCAGCCCACCTCTGTGAGCCCCCCTTAACAGCAGCCACCCTCCACCTTCCATGAGGGGGATCCTCACTTGGCGGGAACTGCTGGGTGCACAGCTGATCACCTGGTGCTGCTGCCATCTTCACATCCCCGGACAGGGCTGGCACCATGGAAAGGGGATTCCCAAGTTGCCTCTTGACTGGGCCAAGTTTTCTTCAATTCTGTTTCTAATGGGAGTAACCTTAGTTTATAACATTATGTAGTTTCAGGTGTTCATCATTATATTGCAATTTCCGTGTAGATGACATCGTGTTCACCACCCAGCAACTAATGACAATCCATCACCCCACACGTGCCTAATCACCCCTGTCACCCTCCTCCCTCCCCACTTCCTCTCTGGAACCCCCAATCCAATGCTTATCTCCTGTGATTGTTTGCTGCCGTTATCCCTGATTTATGAGAGTGTCATAAGGCTATTGGATTTTCTCCCTCTGAATTATTTCGCTTAGCATAATACCCTCCAGGTCCATCCATGCTGTCACAGATGGCCGGATCTCCGCCTTTCAGATGGTTGAGTAGTATTGCACGGTGTATATATGCCACATCTTCCTCATGGGTAACTAGGTTACTTCCAAGTCTTGGCTATTGTGAAATATGCTGCAAGGAACACAGGCATGCAGAGATCTTTATGCGTTCGTGTTTTCACATTCTTGAATAAATACCCTGTGGTGAAATAGCTGGGTCATAAGATAGTTCCGTTCTATATTTTCAGAGGAACCTCCATCCTGTTTTTCATACTGGCTGCATGGGTATGCACCCCAACCATCAGCGTAGGCAGGGTCCCTAAGATCCACATCCTCTGCAAGACATGTTTTGTCCTGTCTTGTTCATTAGAGCCATTCTGACTGCCATGACGTGAGATATCGTTGTAGTTTTGATTTCCAATTCCCTGAGAAGTGGTGAGATTGAACATCTTTTCATGTGCCTGTTGGCCATCTGTCTATGTTCTCTGGAGAAATGTCTGTTCAGGTCTTTTGCCCATTTCTTAAGTTGGTGGTTAGTGATTTTCTGCTAGAGATGTAAGTGTTCTCTACAGATTTTGGATATTGACCCATCATCACATGTAGTCTGCAAATGTCGTCTCCAGATTGTTAGGTTGTCTTTTCATCTGTTGGTGGTTTCCTTTGCTGTGCAGAAGCATTTTAGATTGATGTAGACCCATTTGTTTAACTTTTCCATCATTTTCCAGACCTGGCCAGACACGGTACTGGAAAATATGCCGCTCACACCAATAGGCAAGCGCATACTGCCTTTGATTTCCTCTAAACATTTCATTGGTCTCTGAGCATCTTTAGTACTCTTTATCGGAACTCGTTGTCAGCTAGATTCTTGATTTCTATGTCATACACTTGTTTTTCTAGAGTATTGTCCTGTAGCCTTATTTTGAATGTTTTCTTTTGTCTCGTACCTTGTCTCTTTCTCTATTCTTCTATCGAACTATTAGGTAGGTCAGCCGTGCCTTCCGAACTTGGAGAGTTGGTATTATGGAAGAGATGACTTATGAGGCCCAGCAGTGTGCTTCCCTCTACTCAAAACTTCCGAAACTTACAGGAGAATCCCCTGTTTGGGCTACGTGTATCCCCCTGTTGAAGCTTGGTTGCTATTGCCACAGGTGCCAAGCTAGGCAAGGATGTGCCCCAGGCAGGCTGGCTGGTATACTCATCTGCCTGTGGCTGTGATGGTCCATTCACTCATTTATCAGCATGGGGCGCCCCAGCACAGTTGCCTGCCAGGTCTAATGGCTCATTCCTGTTGCAGCTTTTCTGCTGAGTGAGCTGGCGCCCATCATGGCTGGCTCCTAGTCACAGGTGAAGAAGCTTGCTGCAGGCTTCAGGCCTGCAAGGCTGTTGTCAGAACTCTCAGGGTTGCAGCTGAGTGGGGCTGGCCCCAGGCATGGAAGATCCCAATATTTTCAGGCTTTGGAAGGTGGGGCCTATGCCTTATGTGGCTGTTGTAGAAGCTGCTTATTGCAGTAATGCTCCCCCGCCCAGCTCAGATCCCCCAATCCACCAGGAAAGGCTTCACACCTTAAGGGAGCTCCCAACTGGCCCTGAAGAGTTATGGCTCGAAGATGGCTTTGTTCCTCTCCAGAAAGGAATTCTCCCTCTTCCAGCTCAGTCAGCACTGTCCCCTTTGATGAGCATGTTTTCATCCAGTTTTCAGTTCTTTATGAGCAGTAATTGTTCCAAGAGCAGCTCTAAATTCATTGCATCCATGGGTGGAGGAGAGTTCAGCGTCCACCAAGACCCACATCTTGACAGCGTCCTGGGCGAATGTTAACCCAAGGCCCTCAGGCTGCCATCTGATTCCCTCCTTGATGGAGATCTGTGCAGATGGTGGAGGCTGTATGTCCGGAGTGGAGAGAGTCACTGAGGTGTGAGAGCCCCCAAAGTGACTCAGCCAGTGCTCTGAGGCTTCCTGCCTGGCTGCTGGGCACTGTCTTTACAGATCGTTCCTCAGGAGTTTGGAAAGGACAAGACACATCAGTCCTTCCTCTCCCTGACTCTACAGGAAGGGATGATGTGGCACCAGGCCGACACAAGCCAGCGCTGGGCCTGGGTGACTGCAAGTGCTCAGCACACCCAGCACCCAGGGCCGAAGGACACCAAAGACGACCCTAGGTCCTACAAGGCTATGATACCAGTCCTGCTCCAGAAGGAATCTGTCTCCCCATCTCTGCCCCCAAAATGCCTGCACTGCCCAGCTCCTGTCTTGGCCACATTCAAAGTCACTGTCCCCATAACTCTACGAATCCCAGCAAAGAGACTTTTCTCCCATTTCACCTCATGTTTGGTCAAGGGGATCGTTGCATTTTTCTACACATTTTCCTCTTTCACCCCATCCCCAAGTGTCCATGATGACCTCACAATCCTTCCACACCTTCTCCAAGTCTCACACATCCTTATGATGGACAAGGATGCTATTTCCCAAAAGGATGTGTGGCTCATTGGGACATGTGTGTTGCTCTGTCTTTTGCCCTCCTGAGGAATGTGTCCCCATGGCCCCTCCAGGTCAGGGGCCGGGGCATCACTGACCTGCATGACATTTTGGATGGCAGAGCCTGGACGAGACTGATTCAGCCCTTCACTGCTGTGGGACCTTGTGTTGTCTTTTCATCAGTGCTGCACTGAACGTCCTGCCTGTCCTCCTGTCCCGATCCATCCAACCCCAGGGAAAGTGCCGGCCTTCTCATCTCTGCAATGGGCTCTTTTGTAGAAACCCCAGGGCTGATGCTCTTAACACACACAGGTGCTGTCAGTTCTCCGCTAACACCTTGATCTGCTACTGATACTGATACTAAAGGTTCATTCATTCCCCCGTCCGATTCTACCCGCAAGACCAGATGTTTTTCCTACTCAGGGCATTCCTGTTCCACCTCTTGCCAGAAGTCACTGGGGGCTTGAGGCGTTGCTCTGACCGCCAGCCCCCAAACCTCCTGGTGCCCACGGTGCTGCCTCTGATGCTGAGCCTCTCCTCTGTGCCACCCCAGGCTCTCGACGCATCCACAGTGGACAATAAACCATTTCCCAGGCTGTGGACAGTTCACAACACTCCACTCGAGCGTCTGGTGGCTCACCTTGTGCCTGCCTTCCTGCTGGGTGACACCACTTTTATCCACAGCTTCCTGTTGACATACATAGCTGTCGCCACCACACAAGAGGTGCTAGATGAGTTCTTTAATAGGTGAGTGCCCTGCCCCTCCCCAGGACTCTGGGGCTCCCACTACCAGCACGCTGGGAGTCTTGGGGAGGTCACTGCACCTCTCTGAGCCTCAGTTTGCTCCTCTGAATAATGGGGAGAAGAGAGGAACAATCACCTAGTGCCATTGTAGGGACTCAATGAGCTCCTGCCTGGACGAGAAGCTGGGCCCTATGAAAGGTCAGATGGATCGGCTCTCCAGGGCTCTGTTCTAGTCGGGAGTCAGACAATCACACGAGACTCCTCAGGCAGCTGCCATCCAGTACAGTCAATGTGATGCCCTCCTGTCTCCTCTAGTTACAGATTCATCCTCTATTGCAGAGTGGACAACGCGCACACCCGACGATGGAAAAAGTGAGTGGGCACTGGATCAAGTGGGAGGACCTCTTGTCTCCACACTTTGAGGGGAGTGTCAAGCCATTGATCGGGAAGCTGGCAGGACCTGCCACCCCAACATCTTGTGATTCCTTCGGGCCAGCAGAGTTCTGAGGGCTTCTCAAAGAAGAGAAGAAAACAGTCCAGGAGAGCTCTGGAGGGGGCTGTGGGTGCTGTGGGAGCCCACGGGAGAGTGGAGTCAGCCCCTACAGCACCCAGATCCACCACTCCACATCCCAGTCCCGCCTCCACTCCCCATCCTGGGACACAGAACAGGAGGTGTCTAAGCACCCTGCTCACTCATGTGGTAGAACCTCCACGGTGGGTGATCCCCTGCATCCCAGCGAGCCCACTCCGTACTCAGGGGCCAAATGACACCCTCCGTGTAAGCCCCTAGCGGCACGGGAGGTCACCCACATGGGGCACCTTGTGAATCAGGCAGCACGCAGGCACTGGAGCTAAAGGCTGAGGTGTTTGGAGGGCAGTGGGAAGCAAAGGCAGGAAACAAAGGCCCTTGTTCCCTCATCGGTCAGATGTTCACTGTGCCCTACTGTGTGCCAGTGCGTGCAACAACAGAGCAGACTGACCACTGCCTGCCATCCTGGACAGGCATCCCAGTGGGATGTGCCAGGAGACACTCGAGGACTGTGTCAGCCTTCTCTGAGGAAAAGGATGGGTGATCACACCAGGGACCAAGTGCTCTCACTTCCCAAGGTGTTTTCCCAGCCTCTCCTTGGAGACGCGGCGTGTTCCACCAAGCTGGACCAGTTGCAGGTGCACAGAAAGTGGGACTGACCCCTGCACGGGCAGCAGCAGGAGGCACAGGAGCCCAGACCCCCACGGAGGTACCCTGGGAGGGCAGTGTGGAAAGAGAGGCCAGTTCTCTGATGCCACTGCCCACCTGTCTCTCCTCAGGGCCTTGGCCTTCATTCTCGGCACGTGGATGGAATCCTATCCCCAGGACTTTTGCCAGCCCCCACACTTTCCCAGCTTGAGAAGGGTATTGGCCTTCCTCGGGTGCAGCATGCCAGACTCGCAGGTGGAGCATCAAGCTCGCCTTCTGCTTTCACAGTTGCTGCACCCTGAGCCCAGCGAGGCAGAGAGTCAGGGTGAGCAGGACTCGGGCTGCGTGACAGGGGCGTGTGTGGAGGCAATGTGGCTGGGCCGCTCAGCGCAGAGCCTTCAGAGGCTGGGGTTAGGCTGGGAGCAATGAGCTGGTTCCAATCACAATTCCCACTGACTCCAGGCACGGCAGAGCTTCTGGAGAGCGGTTCGTGTACTGAGTCTCCCTGATTGGTGAGACGTTTCCCTTCCTTGGGAGGAACATGGAAAGACAGTCATGTTTGGTTTTCCTGTGAGTATTTGTACAAGTGTGTGTGTCCGTCAGTGTGTGTGTCTGTGTGCATGTTTGGCATGGTTACTTTTTCTTTTTTAATTTTTTTCCACCATTCACTTCTGTTAATTCTTGTATGCGGTGACAGTACTTTATAACCCTACATAAATTTCAAGTGTACGGCGTTATATATTTTGATTTCTGTGTAGATTACAGCAGGTCCCCCACCCAAAGACTAATTGCAATCCATCACCACACACATGTGCCTTGTCATGTGGATGTGGTTTTCTCTTCTTGGATCTGCAGCACCAGCTCCTGAGAAAGATCCCAACCCAGCTGAACATCGCCCCCCTGCTCCAACTCTAGTGCCCACCACACCTCAGAGCCACAGATCGACGTCCAGCGCCACAGCCGCCTCGAGCCTCAGCCCGGATGGCACTTCAAGTGATGGAAAGACCATTCACGTCCTCCCAGCGACGAGCCTCAGCCCCTGGACCGTGGCCCCATCGCTGATTTCTGCCCCTTCCCCTTTACCGCCAGTTCATTAAAGTTCTGTTTTGTCTTGCACATGCTTCATGCTTTCCTTTAATTTCTCTTGTGATGTTCACTTCAACAGGATGTCATTCCTTGGGCCTTTCCAAATGTCCATTTCCCTGGCCAGGAGGACGCTCACAGTGTTGCCCGACCGTCATCCTGACCTCGTTCAAGAACACTGTCGTGGGAGGGAAGGCCTCTCCCTGTTCTCCTCTCAGTCCTCCTCCCTCCCACCCCGTCCCTGGGGCCCGCTGAGCTTTCTGACTCTATGGACCTACCTCTGCTAGGCTGTTCAGCTGAGCGGACGCATCCAAGACGTGGCATTTTGTGTGTGGCTACGTAATATCTGAGGAGTATTAACCACTTTTTAAATTTTAAAAAAACCCAGTTTTTATTAGGGAGAAAAATCCCTGCTCCATCAAATCTTATGTATGAAATATGCAGCCCCCATGTTGAATATTCTCTTTATCTGAGGATAGGAACCTCTCTTAAAGGGTGACTCGAGAGCTGGAAACCAAGAGGGGAATGTGTGGGGCCGGGAGACACCTTTCACATCGTTTCCCTTCCTGGATGGGCCACGGATCAGGTTATGCAATGTGCAAATTACAAAATATGATTATCGCATATTACATGCTTAGAATGATTACAAATATCTTAAGGAATAAAATACCTTATCTACGTTTTTCAGGATTTGGATTGATGATTGCTTTTCATTTAGTAAAATAATGTTTTAATGTGAGTAAGGAAAGAGGGTCCACTCCTCCGACTGGGAAATAATTGCCCACAACAAGTGTTATCCATCTTTTCACTCTTCGCTCTACAGGGCAATGATCTTTGAGGACCCACGTGCAGGCATGTGTATAGGTGTGTGTGTTAAGCAGTGTGAGTGGGTTTGGTGGGCAGGAGCCCAGGGCTTTCCTATCCTAGGACCTGATGTCCCACAGGGGAACAGGGACACTCAGTCCTGTCCCTTTGTGTGTTCTCAGTGGCCACACATCACCTTCTACCAAGCAGCCCTGGCTTTGAAGGATTGGACCATCTCCAATTGTTCACTCCATAATTGTACTGGAATGTGTATCTGCATCCACACGTCTCTGTTTTTGTAGAACAGAGCCCTAGAAGCAGACGTTCTGCCAACAACTGATACACCCATTTGGTGGGTTGGCTGCCATTTCCGATGTCTAGGCTTACTTCATCAAGTTTGAGTCTTGTTTGGGAAAGCAGGGATTCCAGAGCATTGCAGGTTGCATGTGAAGGGTGGAAGCTGACAAGACAGGAGTGAGGCCATCAGGGCCCCTGAGAGTGGCCCATGGAGTCCGGAAGAGCCTGCCCAACGTCCACCAGGTTTCCTCCCCCACAGCATCTTCTGCCCCCAGTCCTGGAACCCTCTCCACCAAGCCCCTTCCCATGAAACACCCCACTCCCAGGCCCACCTGGGCCAGCCCAACCCACATGCTCCACGATTCAGCTTCTAGGTAGGGCAGCCAGCCCCTGCTTCCCAGCCAAAGGAGACTGTAGGCCAGGCCACTCCTTTCTGTGCCCATTTACATCTGGTCTGGGTCCCCTTCTCAGGAAGAAACATCTAGGGGAAGGTCAGGGCCACATCGACGTGACCTTGAAGGTGTCCATCCAGATAAAGCTTTGAGTTGCATCACCAACAACACTTGACCTTGTGTGAGCAAAGGAGACCTTTAGGAAGCAGAGCAGGGGCTGCTGGAGCTGCGGGCTGGGGAGAGCCTCGGTCAGGGCCTTTAGCCCTGGGCAGAGCCCGAGAAACACCCCTCAGCCTCCTCCACCAGCAACGCCCTGTCCCCCTGCTGCCACCACCCACCTTGGGGTCCCTCACATTCAGTATGTGCAAGGGAGGGGACTCTGCTTCCTGCTAAACAGTCCAAAGGAAGGGAAGTGGGGAGCCCTCCCCGCCTTCCAAGTCAGCTTATGCGGGGTCCACTTCCTCCGAGGCTGTGGGGCAGGCCATGGGTGGCAATCTCTCTCTTCTCTGACACAGGATGGAGCCCCCCAGTCAGAGACCATAGGTCATCACAGAGAGGAAACAGGGCCTTCCCTGGAGGGAGGGAGAGGAGCTCCCCTGGACAGGGAACAAGCAAGGCTGGAGAGAAGGGGGACCACGCAGAAGGGCTGCCATGGGCTGGGGCAGTGCCACAGCGGTGTCACTACAGACACACACACACACACACACACAATTTTTACCCTCTGAGGTAATGGAAGTGTTACCTATCTTTATTACAGAAATGATTCCCAGTATTGATGTATCCTAAATCATCATATTGTACTCCACAAACTCAGACAAGGTTATGTGTCCATTAAATCTCAATCAAGTGGGAAAAATTTTTTGGAAAGGATGAAAAGGTGACCTACGGAATGACAGGAAATATTTGCAAACCACGTATCTGCTAAGGGGTGAACATCCAGAACATGTGAGAAACACATACAACCCAAAACCCGAACAAATAAATTTACCTCATTGAAAAATGGGCACAGGATCTTGAACAGACATTTCTCCAAAATAGACAGGTCAGTGGGCCAAAAGTCTAGGGAAAGATGTTGAACATCCATCACCCACCATAAACAAGTGCAAATCAAAAGGAGATGTCACGTCACACCTGTTACCACAGCTCTCGTCACACACTCACGCAAAAGATACTGTTGGCGAGCATGTGAAGACATTGGAACCCTGGTGTATCCCGTCCCACTAAAGGTAATATTGTGCAGCTGCTATGGGAAACTCTATGGAGATTGCTCAAAAGGATTCAACCTGGAAATCACATACACTCCACTAATTCCATTCCTAGGTATATATCCTCCAAATTCCAAACAGGAACCTGAAGGGACACGGCCACTCCCATGTTCTTGGCAGTGTCGTTCACAAGAGCCATGCTGTGGAAGCGACCTAAGCGTCTGTCCACGGATGAAGGGGTTCAGAAACTGTGGCACAGACTTACAAGGCCATATTACAGCGCCTTCGTAAAGAAGGAAATTCTGCTATAGGACACGACACGGATGAATCTGGAGGACATTATGTTAATGGAAGGAGACACTGACAGAGGGACAAAGAATGCATGGTTCCACTTCTGAGGGCTACCTAAAACAGTCAAACTCTCAGAGGCAGAGACTACAGTGGTGCTTGCCAGGGAGTGGCGGAGCAGAAAACAGTGAGCCACATTTCAAGGGCTCCTACAGGACAACAAAGTGTATTGAGGGAATCCTTTCAGGATACAAACAACAAAACATTTTAGAAAACAGAAAGTCTATCACTCAACATATTTGTATACTCGAATCCAAATTTAGAGAGTTATTCTAAAGATGGCATTAGCCTAACTGGGCACTTTGCACTGAACATGAATAATTCTCCCTGCCCTTTCAGATGTTTGAGGGGATGATTTCAAAGGCTGCCTAGGGTTCCATATCATGTCTCGTACATAACTAGCTGTTTCCATTGTCCCTGTCACCATCTTCCTCCAGCAAACATCTCTGGATGGTGTCTGGAAGTGGAGTTCAATTGATAGCAGCTCCAGACAGCTTCCAAATCTAGAATGCTTCACGGAGCTTCTGGAGCACTTTCACTTTCTCCTTTGCACTTCGGGTGGCAGGCGTTGACACTAGAACTCGTCTCCCTCTCTACATTGGGAGCTTCTCCCAGGGAAAGATGCCGCTCCGTCACTTCTGCCTCCAACTGTTGGCACAGTGCTGACATATGAGAAAACCTCAACAGAGATACAAGGCACAAAATAAATCTAAATGAGAGACTCATTGTTGCAGACAACTTCAAGTGTCCATCAAGATCCATCCTCCACTTCTTGGGGCATGCGGTTGGATGCCGTGGTCCAACCTGTGTGGTGGCCAATGACCACTTCTTTGCCGAGGGAAGAGAAAAGGTACTGACAGGTGCTGTTCCGGACCCGGTTGATAACATCCTCCTGCGTGAATTTCCTTCTGTTCTTTCCAATCATGCTGATGGATGCAGATGAGGATCATGTCCGAGGGAGGGAGAAGGCACACGATGGAAGAACGATGTGTTCCTGAAGGCCATGTGAAAGATTGTGGTCCCTCCAGTCGGAACACCCACCATGCACTGGTATCTGGGAAAATAGATAGTGCTATGCTCCTGTAATTTGGGCTGAGTTTCGATAACTCATCACATGCCAGCAAAAGTCTCAGTCACAGGACTAACTTTAGTCGTGATCCACCTAGCACATTGCAAATGATGGAAGTCTATTTGGCTCTAAGGACAGAGCCGGTCAGTGGTGAGATGGATCTTCATTCCACACCTGTGCCCCGAGCACGCAATAGTGCTAGTGCTGAAAAGACCCAACAAGCGTCTGCCTCCTGGGAGCTCACAGTCTGGAGGGGTAGCTGGACAAAAGCACGAAAGGAAAACCACGGGAATGAAAGAAACAGATGCTACCAGGAAAACAGGCCGATGCTGCAATGAGAGCCAGGTCCACTAGGAGAGGGGCCTGGACGGGCTGCCACGAGGTGACGTTCATATTTGCAGCAGCATGACAAGAAGGAGCCAGCCCTGCATCAAGCCAGGGCCCAGAAGCCTGTAGGAACGCCCAGCAGTGCAGACTCTTGGAGGCACAAGTGAGGTTGGCCAGAGAGGAGGTTAGAGAGCAGGGCAGCGTGGCTAGAAGGAGCTTGGCGGGAGAGTCAGGGAGGGAGGAGAGGGGAGAGCAAGACCAGGGCCAGGGGCAGGGCAACGGCGTTAGGCAGCTATCGTTAGTGCTGTGTGATAACCTTTCCCCATCTTTACGGGCTTAACCAACGAACGTTGATTATGTGACAGTGGCACTGGACCAGGAATCCAGCAGCGCTCAGCTGGGAGCCTCTGCCAGATGCTCTCAGGGAGTCAGGCTGTGCTCTGAACTGAGGCAGGATCTGCTTCCCTCCCGCTCTGAGCGCACTCTGGGTCCTGGAGGGACCCCTTGCGACTGGAGGCCTGAGTGCCCCTCTGTCGGTGGGTCTCCTTCAGGGCCAGGCCTCAGCAGCCTCTCTCGAGCACAACCCAGAACACACAGGCCTGTTCCCCACAGTGAGGGATGGGAGGGAGAACGCGAGCACAGGTCGGAGCCAGCGGGACCGGACCCCCAGACTGTTTGGCACCCAGTCTCAGAACTGGCTTCGCATCACTGTGCCCTCTCCCATGGTGTAGAGGGGAATCACAAACTTCAGGCCAGACTAATGGGGAGTGGATTCCAGCAGCATGTGTAGACCGAGCAGAGGGGATCACAGGAGGCCACTGAGGGAGAAGGAGAGCACCTCACAGGCTCAATGCCCTGGACAGAATCACAGTCTAGTTCAAGGTGGAGCCAGGTGTGAACCCAGCTCGGCATCCTCAAGGATAGGGCCCTGGCTCTCCCAGGCTTCCAAAGGGCACTGTTAAAAGGTGGTGTAGCTCTAACTGCAGACAGACGTGGAGAGGGCAGGGGGCTGAGGCTGAGAATTCAGCAGCCTTGACGGGCATTTGGCAAGTTCTTGCCTGAGGAGGAGCCAAGGGCAGGGGAACACTTCAGTGTCCCTCTGTCGATGTCACACCCAGGGTGGAGGGAGCAGGGGCCACCTTTGCTGAGCTCATGCTTATGCACTTCTGAACTGAATCCCTCACTGGATAATTGGGAAACTGAGGCTCATAAACAGGTAGGCACTGGCCCACAGCACATGACAGACAAGAGTCCAAGCAGAAGGAAGTATTCTGATATTCTAGGGCAAGACTCGAACCCTTCCAATAGGCTTTGCTGTGGAAAAGAGAAGGCGTCAGTTCTTGGGAAGCTCTTGCCCATCCCTTCCTCTGTGGAGGCTGTTTCCTCCTGGGCATCCAGGACGTGAGCAGTGACACACACGTACACACGGAGACCTTAGACGGAAGGACGGACTATGGGGTGGGCTCAGAAGAGAGGCAGACACAGGGGAGGTGAGGAGAGGAAGAAAAAAGCGGTTAGAGGCATTCCATACATGGGACACCGCTCCTCCAATTTCACAGGTATTTTCCCACTCTGGCCTGAGGGCATCTCCAAGGAGTATGGGCTAGGATAATCCCCCCCGTGCAGACTAGAGGCAGAATGGCCCCGCGGGGGAGGCACCATGGCTTCTCCAGGATGAGGAACAGGGAAGAAGGAGCACTTGTGTCTGCGTCTGTCTCAAAGCTGGGACCCTGGCTGCACCCAGACCTTCTCGGAGGCCTGTGGAGACAGATGGTTTGGGGATCCTGGGGACACATATGATACTGCAAGGAAAAGGGGGCGAGCAGTGCCCTGCCCAGAGGACTGCTTGCATGGGTGGTATCCAAGGAGGTGGCTCAGATCACCATGGTCTCCAGGCAGTGATGTAACCTCTTTCACAACAATGCCCACAGTGCAGGGGCCTCCTGTAAACAGGCACCCAGATCCTCACACTCAGCTCACTTGGCTGGAGACAGCTGCTACGGAAAGATGTTTTCCTGCTGTATCCTGCCTTACCACGTCTATGGTCCCCAGAAGACCTGGAGCCATAACCTTTTTACTCGTTTTAAAGGGTGGCTCACCTCTCATACACCACACCTATGGCCGTTTGCCAGGAGGTCATCAAAGGTAACACGAGGGGGCCTACATCGGGCTATCCAGCTCAGGCCACCTCTGTGAGCCCCCACTGAACGGCCCCCACCCTCTCCCTTCCGTGGGGGGGATCCTCACTTGGCAGGAACTGCTGGGTGTACAGCTGATCACCTGGTGCTGCTGCCATCTTCACATCCCAGGACAGGGCTGGCACCATGGAAAGGGGATTCCCAAGTTGCCTCTTAACTGGGCCAAGTTTCCTTCAATTCTTTTTCTGGTGGGAGTCACCTTCGTTTATAGCATTACGTAGTTTCAGGGGTTCATCATTATACTGCGATTTCTGTGTAGATGACATCGTGTTCACCACATAACGACTAATGACAATCCATCACCACACACATGTGCCTAATCACCCCTGTCACCCTCCTCCCTCCCCACTTCCTCTCTGGAACCCCCAATCCAATGCCTATCTCCTGTGATTCTTTGCTGCCGTCATCCCTGATTTATGAGAGTAGTCACAAGGCTATTGGACTTTCTCCCTCTGAATTATTTCACTTAGCGTAATACCCTTCATGTCCATCCATGCTGTCACAGAAGGCCAGATCTCCTCCTTTCGGATGAGTGAGTAGTATTGCACGGTGTATATATGCCACATCTTCCTCATGGGCAACTAGGTTGCTTCCAAGTCTTGGCTATTGTGAAATATGCTGCAAGTTACAGAGGCATGCTGACATCTTTACCCATTCGTGTTTTCACATTCTTGAATACATACCCTGTGGTGGAATAGCTGGGTCATACTGTAGTTCCATTCTTAATTTTCAGAGGAATCTCCATCCTGTTTTTCATACTGGCTGCATGGGTATGCACTCCAGGCAGCAGCGTAGGCAGGGTCCCTAGTCTCAACAACCTCTGCAACACATGTTTTGTCCTGTCTTGTTCATTAGAGCCATTCTGATGACTGTGACATGAGATCTTGTGGTAGTTTTGATTTCAACTTCCCTAAGAAGTGGTGAGATTGAACATCTTTTCATGTGCCTGTTGGCCATCTGTCTATGTTCTCTGGAGAAATGTCTGTTCAGGTCTTTTGCCCATTCCTTAAGTGGGTGGTTAGTTATTTTCTGGTAGAGGTGTACGAGTTCTCTACAGATTTTGGATATTGACCCATCATCACATGTAGTCTGCAAATGTCTCCCAATTGTTAGGTTGTCTTTTCATCTGTTGGTGGTTTCCTTTGCTGTGCAGAGCATTTTAGATTGATGTAGACCCACTTGTTTAATTTTTCCATCATTTTCCAGGCCTGGCCAGACACGGTACTGGAAAATATGCTGCTCACACCAATAGCCAAGTGCATACTGCCTTTGATTTCCTCTAAATATGTCATGGTTCTCTGAGCATCCTTAGGAGTCTTTGCTTGAGCTACTTGTCAGCTAACTTCTTGATTTCTATGCCATACACTTCTTTTTCTAGGGTATTGTCCTGTTGCCTTACTTCAAATGTTTTCTTTTGTCTCGTACCTTGTCTCTTTCTCGATGCTTCTATCGAAGTATTAGGTAGGTCAGCCGTGCCTTCCAATCTTGGAGACGTGGTATTATGGAAGACATGCCTTGTGAAGTGCAGCAGTGTGCTTCCCTCTACTCAACACTTCCGAAAGTTCCAAGGGAATCGCCTGTGTGGGCCACAAGGATCCCTCTGTTGAGGCAAGGTTGCCGTTGCCACAGGTGACCAGGGAGGCAACGCTGTGCCCTGGGCTGACTGGTTGTTGTACTCATCTGCCTGTGGCTGTGATGGTCCTTTCAGTCACTTTATTGGCATGGGGCACCCCAGCACAGTTGCCTGCCATGTCTACTGGCTCCTCCCTGTGGCGGCTTTTCTGCTGAGTGAGTTGGCACCCATCGTGGCTGGCTCCTAGTCGCAGGTGCAGGGGTTAGCTGCAGACTTCAGGCCTGCAAGGCTGTTGTCAGAATTCTCAGGGTTGTGGCTGAGTGGGGCTGGCCCCAGGCATGGAAGCACGCAATATTTTCAGGCTTTGAAAGGTGGGCCTATGCCCTATGTGGCTGTTGTAGAAGCTGCTTATTGCAGTAATGCTCCGCCACCCAGCTCAGATCCCCCAATCCACCAGGAAAGGCTGCACACCTTAAGGGAGCTCCCAACTGGCCCTGAAGTGTCATGGCTCGAAGATGGCTTTGTTCCTCTCCAGAGAGGAACTCTGCCTCTTCCAGCTCAGTCAGCACCATCCCCTTTGTCTAGGGTGCTTTCATCCAGCTTTCAGTTCTTTATAAGCCATAATTGTGCCAAGAGCAGCTGTAAATTCATTGCATCCATGGGTGGAAGAGAGTTCAGCGTCCACCAAGACCAACATCTTGACAGCATCCTCGGTGAATGTTAAGCCAAGGCCCTCAGGCTGTCGTCTGATTCCCTCCTTGGCGGAGATCTGTGCAGATGGCGAGGCCTGTGGGTCTGGAGAGGAGAGACTCACTGAGGTGTGAGTGCCCCCAAAGTCAGTCAGCCAGTGCTCTGAGGTTTCCTGCCTGACTGCCGGGCACTGTCTTTACAGGTCGTTCCTCAGGAGTTTGGAAAGGACAAGACACATCAGTCCTTCCTCTCCCTGACTATACAGGAAGGGAGGATGCAGCACCCGGCCGACACAAGCCAGCGCTGGGCCTGGGTGAGTGCAGGTGCTCAGCACACCCAGCACCCAGGGCCTAAATACACCAAAGACAACCCCCGGTCCTACAAGGCCCTAGTACCAGTCCTGCTTCAGAAGGAATCTGTCTCCCCATCTCTGCCCCCAACCTGCCCGCACTGCCCAGCTCCTGTCTTGGCCACATTCAAAGTCACTGTCACCATAACTCTACGAATCCCAGAAAAGAGACTTTTCTCCCATTTCACCTCATGTTTGGTCAAGGGGGTTGTTGCATTTTTCTACACATTTTCCTCTTTCACCCCATCCCCAAGTGTCCATGATGACCTCACAATCCTTCCACACTTTCTCCACGTCTCACACAGCCTCATGATGGGTAAGGATGCTTTTCCCCAAAATGATGTGGGGCTCATTGGGACATGGGTGTTGCTCTGTCTTTTGCCCTCCTGAGGAACACGTGCCCATGGCCCCTCCAGGTCAGGGGCTGGGGCCTCACTGAGCTGCATGACATTTTGGATGGCAGAGCCTGGACGAGACTGATTCAGCCCTTCACTGCTGTGGGACCTCATGTTGTCTTTTCATCAGTGCTGCACTGAACGTCCTGCTTGTCCTCCTGTCCCAATCCATCCCACCGCAGGCAAAGCCCCCGTCTTCTCCTCTCTGCAATGGGCTCTTCTGTCAGAAACCCCAGGGCTGATGCTCTTAACACACACAGGTGCTGTCAATTCTCCACTAACACCTTGATCTGCTACTGATACTGATAATAACACGTTCGTTCATTCCCCTGTCCGATTCTACCCGCAAGACCAGAAGCTTTTCCTACTCTGGGCACTCCTGTCCCACCTCTTGCTAGAAGTCACTGGGAGCTTGAGGCATTGCTCTGACGGCCAGCCCCAAACCTCCTGGTGCCCACGATGCTGCCTCTGATGCTGAGCCTCTCCTCTGTCCCACCCCAGGCTCTCGACACATCCACAGTGGACAAGAGATCATGTCCCCGGCTGTGGATGGTTCACAACACTCCACTCGAGCGTCTGGTGGCTCACCTTGTGCCCGCCTTCCTGCTGTGCGACACCACTTTTATCTACAGCTTCCTGTTGACATACAAAGCTGTGGCCACCACACAACAGGTCCTAGATGAGTTCTTTAATAGGTGAGTGCCCTGCCCCTCCCCAGGACTCTGCGACTCCAGCTACCTGCATGCTGGGAGTCTTGGGGAGATCTGCGCACCTCTCTGAGCCTCAGTTTGCTCCTGTGAATAATGGGGAGAACAGAGGAACAACCACCAAGGGCTATTGTAGGGACTCAATGAGCTCCTGCCTGGACGGCCCTTTCGAGAAGCTGAGGCCAATGAAAGGTCAGCTGGATCGGCCCTCCAGGGCTCCGTGCTAGGTGGGAGTCAGACAGTCACAAAAGACTCCTCAGGCAGCTGCCGTCCAGTACAGTCAATGTGATGCCCTCCTGTCTCCTCTAGTTACAGATTCATCCTCTTTTGTAGAGTGGACGACGCACCCACCCGCCTATGGAAAAAGTGAGTGGGCACTGGATCAAGTGGGAGGGCCTCCCCTCTTCACACTGCTAGGGGAGTATTGGGCCTGTGATCAGGGTGCTGGCAGGACCCGCCATCCCAACATCTTGTGATTCCTTCGGGCCGGCAGATTTCTGACAGCTTCTCAAAGAAGAGAAGACAGCAGTCCAGGAGAGCTCTGGAGGGGGCTGTGGGTGCTGTGGGAGCCCAGGCGGGAGTGGAGTAACCTCCTACAGCACCCAGATGCATCCAATCACAATCCCAGTCCCGCCTCCACTCCCCATCCTGGGACACAGAACAGGAGGTGTCTGAGTATCCTGCTCACTCATATCGTAGAACCTCCACGGTGGGGGCTCTGCTGCGTCCCAGCGGGCCCACTCCATGCTCAGGGGCCAAATGCCACCCTCCGTGTCAGCCCCTAGCAGGAGGGGAAGGTCACCCACATGGGGCACCTAGTGAATCAGGCAGCACAAAGGCACAGGAGCTAAAGGCTGAGGTATTTGGAGGACAGTGGGAAACAGGGGCAGGAGACAAAGGCTGTTGTTCCCTCATCGGTCAGGTATTCACTGCGCCCTACTGTGTGCCAGTGTGTGCAAGAACAGAGCAGATGGCCCCACGCCCTTCCCACCAGGACTGGCATCCCAGTGGGATGTGCCAGGAGACACTCGAGGACTGTGTCAGGCTTCCCTGAGGAAAAGGATGGGCGATCACACCAGGGACCGAGTGCTCTCACTTCCCAAGGTGTTTTCCCAGCCTCTCCTTGGAGACGCGACCTGTTCTGCCAAACTGGCCAGGTCGCATGTGCACGGAAAGTGGGACTGGACCCTGGCTGGGCAGGAGCAGGAGGCACTGGAGCCCAGGCCCCCACGGAGGTACCCTGGGAGGGCAGTGTGGAAGGAGAGGCCAGTTCTCTGATGCTGCTTCCCACCTGTCTCTCCTCAGGGCCTTGGCCTTCATTCTCGGCATGTGGATGGAATCCTATCCCCAGGACTTTTGCCAGCCCCCAGACTTTCCCAGCTTGAGAAGGGTATTGGCCTTCCTTGCATTCAGCATGCCAGGCTCGCAGGTGGTGCATCAAGCTCGCCTTCTGCTTTCACAGTTGCTGCACCCTGAACCCAGCGAGGCAGAGAGTCACGGTGAGCAGGACACAGGCTGTGTGACACGGGCGTGTGTGGAGGCAATGTGGCCAGGCCGCTCAGCGCAGAGCCTTCAGAGGCTGGGGTTAGGCTGGGAGCAATGAGCTGGCTCCCATCACAATTCCCACGGACTCCAGATACGGGAGAGCTTCTGGAGGGTGGTTCGTGTACTGAGTCTCCCTGATTGGTGAGCCGTTTCCCTTCCTTGGGAGGAACATGGAAAGACAGTCACGTTTGGTTTCCCTGTGTGTGTTTGTCCTTGTGTGTGTGTGTCTGTATGTGTATGTGTGTGTGTGGCATGGTTACTTTGGGGTATCTTTTTCTTTTCACCATTCACCCATGTTAATTCGTGATTGCAGTGACAGTACTTTATAACCCTACATAAACTTCAACTGTACGGCGTTATATATTTCGATTTCTGTGTAGATTACAGCAGGTCCCCCACCCAATGACTAATTACAATCCGTCACCACACACATGTGCCTTGTCATGTGGATGTGGTTTTCTCTTCTTGGATCTGAAGCACCAGCTCCTGAGAAAGATCCCAACCCAGCTGAACATCGCCCCCCTGCTCCAACTCTAGTGCCCACCACACCTCAGAGCCACAGATCGACGTCCAGCGCCGCAGCCACCTCGAGTCTCAGCCCGGATGGCACTTCAAGTGATGGAAAGACCATTCACGTCCTCCCAGGGACGAGCCTCAGCCCCTGGACCGTGGCCCCATCGCTGATTTCCGCCCCTTCCCCTTTACCGCCAGTTCATTAAAGTTCTGTTTTGTCTTGCACATACTTCATGCTTTCCTTTAATTTCTCTTGTGATGTTCACTTCAACAGGATGTCATTCCTTGGGCCTTTCCAAATGTCCATTTCCCTGGCCAGGAGGACGCTCACAGTGTTGCCCGACCGTCATCCTGACCTTGTTCAAGAACACTGTCGTGGGAGGGAAGGCCTCTCCCTGTTCTCCTCTCAGTCCTCCTCCCTCCCACCCCGTCCCTGGGGCCCGCTGAGCTTTCTGACTCTATGGACTTACCTCTGCTGGGCTGTGCAGCTGAGCGGATGCATCCAAGATGTGGCCTTTTGTGTGTGGCTAAGTAATATCTGAGGAGTATGATTAATAACTTTTTAAATTTAAGAAAACAGTTTTTTTAGGGAGAAAAATCCCTGCTCCATCAAAGCTTATGTATGAAAAATGAAGCCCCCATGTTGACTATTGTCTTTATCTGGGGATAGGCACCACATTTAAAGGGTGACACGAGAGCTGGAAACCAAGAGGGGAATGTGTGGGGCCGGGAGACACCTTTCACATCGTTTCCCTTCCTGGATGGGCCACGGATCAGGTTATGCAATGAGCAAATTACAAAATATGATTACCGCATATTACATGCTTAGATTGATTACAAATATCTTAAGGAATAAAATACCTTATCTACGTTTTTCAGAATTTGGATTGATGATTGCTTTTCATTTAGTAAAATAATGTTTTAATGTGAGTAAGGAAAGAGGGTCCACTCCTCCGACTGGGAAATAATTGCCCACAACAAGTGCCATCCATCTTTTCACTCTTCGCTCTACAGGGCAATGATCTTTGAGGACCCATGTGCGAGCATGTGTATAGGTGTGTGTGTTAAGCAGTGTGAGTGGGTTTGGTGGGCAGGAGCCCAGGGCTTTCCTATCCTAGGACCTGATGTCCCACAGGGGAACAGGGACACTCAGTCCTGTCCCCTTGTGGGTTCTCAGTGGCCACACATCACCTTCTACCAAGCAGCCCTGGCTTTGAAGGATTGGACCATCTCCAATTGTTCACTCCATAATTGTACTGGAATGTGCATCTGCGTCCACATGTCTCTGTTTTTGTAGAACAGAGCCCTAGAAGCAGATGTTCTGCCAACAACTGATACACCCATTTGGTGGGTTGGCTGCCATTTCCGATGTCTAGGCTTTCTTCATCAAGTTTGATCTTGTTTGGGAAAGCAGGGACTCCAGAGACATTGGAGGTGGCACCTGAAGGAGGGAGGCTGGCAACACAGCGGTCAGGCCATCAGGGTCCCTGGGAGTGGCCCATGGTGCCAAGAATGGCCTGCCCACCCCCCTCCCTCATGTTTCCTCCCCCACAGCATCTTCTGCCCTAAGTCCTGAAACACTCCTCAGCCAAGCCCCTTCCCATGACACACCCCACACCCAGGCCCCCCTTAGCCGGCCCAGCACACATGCTCCATGATTCAGCTTCTGGGTAGAGCAGGCAGGCCCTGCTTCCTGGCCAGGGGAGACTGCCGGCCAGGCCACTCCTTTCTGCGCCCATCTCCACCCTGTCTTGGTCCCCTTCTCAGGAAGAAACCTCTAAGGACAGGTCAGTGACACATTGACGTGACCTTGAAGGTGTCCATCCAAATAAAGCTTTGAGTTGCATCACCAACAACACTTGACCTTGTGTGAGCAGAGGAGACATTTAGGAAGCAGAGCAGGGGCTTCTGGAGCTGCGGGCTGGGGAGAGCCTCGGTCAGGGCCTTAAGCCCTGGGCAGAGCCCGAGAAACACCCCTCAGCCTCCACCACCAAAAACACCCTGCCCCTGCCCCTACCACTGCCCACCCTGGGGTCCCTCACATTCAGTATGTGCAAGGGAGGGGACTCTGCTTCCTGCTAAACAGTCCAAAGGAAGGGAAGTGGGGAGCCCTCCCCTCCTTCCAAGTCAGCTTATGCGGGGTCCACTTCCTCCGAGGCTGTGGGGCAGGCCACGGGCAGCAATCTCTCTCTTCTCTGACACAGGATGGAGCCCCCCAGTCAGAGACCATAGGTCGTCACAGAGAGGAAACAGGGCCTTCCCTGGAGGGAGGGAGAGGAGCTGCCCTGGACAGGGAGCAGGGAGGACTGGAGAGCAGGGGGCCCTAAGCTGAAGGGCTGCCACAGGCTTGGGCAGCACCACAGTACTAGGGGCATGGGCTCATGGTTGTTTTGCCAGAAGTGTTCAAGATTCACTAAAAAACACACCGGGACACCAGCTGGCCAGGGATGCCTAAGATGCTGTCTACTGATGACTGCACAAGTTTGGTCGGGTGGGCAGGTCTTGTGGACCCAAGGCAGCTCACTCTCTCTGCCTTAGATGGGAGAAGCCCCTTCACTGGGGGTCCAACATTTAGCCCCCTGAGCAGATTATGCACTTAAGAAATCTCCAGAGTGCAGGTCTCAATGCTCATGGCAGTCAATGTCCACAGGCACTAGGACATGATCTGTGGGTCATGTCCATCCCAGGGCTTGCCTGGGTCTGATGGGCTGAGCCCCAGTGCTGTGGGAGCCCAACCAAGGGACACGCCACCCTAACTAGAACATGAAAGAAAGGCTTCTGGGTGAACAATTGAGTTGGAGAGAGTCAGGCCTTCTAGGCACAGGGAACAGCGGGGCAGAAGCAGGGCCCCATGGCTGCAGTGGGCTTGCAGCCTGGCAACATCAGGTACAGCTGAGGATTAGTGAGTCCTTTCTGGGGTCTTTTCTGGACACGAATCATCTCCCTGAATCCGCACAACAATTGTAGGAGGCAGGTGGAAATACTCTTCATGTTTGACTGAAGAGGAAGCTGAGGCTTAATGAAAGTGTCTCTTTCTATGTCCCACAGAGGGACAGAGGCAGGATCTGAATCCAGAATTCATAAATCCCTGTGGGGCCCACCTGACAAAGAGACTGCATCCAGATGTTGCAGGAGGGACCTCGCACCTCTAAAGTTACATGAACCTTTGTCCCTGGTTCCCAGAGAGAAACCTGCTCCTGTCCAGGCACTGACTTCTCTAGCACTGGGAGTCACTTCTGGCCCACATGCCAAGCCCCTGTCATAGAGGGTGCAAGTGTCCCCTGAATACAGTGAGGTCTTGAGGCCTAGGGTTTTGGATCCAGAGGAATCCTAGATCCCTGAATTCCCTGCATGATCAGTGTGGATGGAGCAGAGTCCAAAGACAGAGAAACTGCTGTTCTTGTCCCTGCTGAGTTTCTTTCTACCTGGGTGACCCCAGGCAAGCCTCTGAGTATCAGCGACCCCATCTCTAAAACAGGGAAAGTAAATGGTGCTATTTAATGTGTTGGTGCCGGAAGCACCGTTAATGTGTTGGTGAAAGAATTACTTGAGAAATGTCTTGTGCAATTCTTGACTGGTGCCAGGAGTGCACGGAGAGGCAAATGGAAAGGCAGCCATGTTGGTGGCCATTTACCCAGTCTATCTGTTTTTTCTTTATTGATATTGGAGTTATCCTTAAAAAAAGACGCCAAATCCAAGGTCATTAATATTTGCTCCTACATTTTCTTCTATGACTTTTACAATCTTAGTTCTTTAATTTATGTCCTTGGTCCATTTTCATCAATTTTTTATATTATTTTAGGTAAGCGTCCACCTGTATTCAGTCATTCAAAATTCTATGTGTCTGCGTGTGTAATGAAGGACATCTTCCATTGCTACTTGTAAGGAATTTTCATTAGATTCCAAAGAAATTAAAGTAGAGGGTGACATCAGCAACATGGCCGAGTAAGATGTTCCCTTTATCTATCCCACTTTGAACTACAACTAAATGGACATTCATTGACCAACCAAGGAGACCCACACAAAACAAAAGGATGCCTGAGAGACCCAGAGAGCTACACATCTGAGGGAGGATTGATTGGCCCTCTGAGAAGCAGTGGAGACAGGTAAGCACTCCCTATCCTTCCCTGACAGTCCTGTGCACATGCATGAACACTTCCAAGCCTGGTGTGAGAGCTAATAGTTCTGCTGCACCCCAAAAGAGGGAATGTGCCCCAGGGCGACTGTAGAAAGAGGCAGCAGCAGCCCTTAGCCCACTCGTGATAGCTTTCCCAGCAGTGGGGAGACCACGATACCCCTGCGGCCTCAAGGAGTGGCCCAGGCTTGGTCTGCACAAGGAAGACCCCCACCTGCCAAGTATAGTATATCAGCTAGTGACAGGAGGGAAGTAGCATTTACAATGTTGAAATGTACGAAGCCCTTTCAAGTAAATTAAACTGGAAAAGGTAGTGTTGGCAAGTGGTTAAGAAAAATGTCCCCATCAATCAGGACCCTATATAAATATGAGTACGTGTGTATTAGTTTTCATTATTTGAGTTTGTTATTACATGCATGTTCTACTTTTGAAAAATAATTTAAAAGCAGAAAAACTAGTTAGTTGAAAAAATGGATTAATTGAATCTGAATCTGAAATGAATCTAAATGTCTCTCAGTTGATATTGCTGATTTCAATTCAAAATCCTTCTATTTCACTTTGTCCAGTACCTACCACAAAGACAGAACTCTGTTCCCCTTGTCACGCATTTATTCAGTTAACTCTGTCTTCTACAGACCTTTCTGAGCACCCAATATGTATAAGGGCCTGTATTAGGAACTTAGGGGTATTCAAGGATTATTCAAATGAATAACATAATGGATTTATAAACAATGTGCTATGAGGTTACCCAATAGAGGGAAGGAACCTATCTAATTAGAGGTGATCAGGCTATTCTCCCTTCCTGGCTATGCTGGCCCCCAGACCCAGCTGGCATGTGGGTGACCCTACCCCAAGGCATGTCAGCACACAACTACAGAGAGTTGCATGGCCAAAATCGTAACAGCACACACGTACCCCATAGCACTCCACCTCTCATCATACTGTCATCTAGGGAAAGCAGGCTTAGGAAGGCCATAAGTCAAGTAATTCAAGATGACAATGGAAGAGAGGTCCCGGGCGCACGATGAGGACATCGCTACAAGTGGGAGTGGAGACGGGAGAGGTGGTGCAGGCTGATGCAGGCGGGGGAGGCC